TGTGTGTGTGTGAGAGAGAGACTCGGGACTCCGGGCTGCTCCGCACAGAGAAGTCCTCTCTGGACTTGCGCTCCGGCCCGCTGCAAAGTCCTCTCTGGACCTGAGGACGACACCCACCAGAGGCTGGGGCAGGGCGGGCTCTTGGAGGGCAAACTCCGTGGGCGGGTCTGGGGTAGTCCAGGCAGGTTCCAGTCGCTGCAGGATCACAGAGGTCCGTCCCAGCCCTTAGATTAGGGTACCGGTGGCGTGGTCCACAGGCTGGGGAACACGGGGCGCCGGCCCTGCCGCCACCTCTGATCCTGCAGCTGTCCGCGCCTTGCCCCGGCTGGATTGCTGGGGCTGTACTCTCCTGAGCTAACTGCTCAGCGTGGGCCCCGCTGCTTCTGACTTATTCCAATCTGGCCCCAAAGTCTGGGATTCCCGGTATCTGGAGGAACAGATGTGGGACAGGCAGAGACCACAGAGGGAGAGCGTGCTTGGATACAGGCGAGGGGAGGACATGTTGACTGAAAAACAGCCTCCCCAAAGGTGTCTGCTTCCTAATCCCCAGACTCTATATTCCCTTACAGGGCAAAGGGGATTAAAGCTGCAGATAGAATTAAGTTTGCTCGTCAGATTTCTTTAGAAAAAGGAAATCCTGGATTATCTAAGTGGACACGATATAATCTGGGTGTCCTAAAATGTGGAAGAACAGGCAGGAGCCTCAGAACCAAAGATATTTTAAGAAGGAAAGATTTGCTTGGCTACTGTTGGTTTTGAAGGTGGAAGGACTTCATGATTCAAGGATCACAGCAGCCTCTGGAAGCTACAGAAGGTAAGGAAATGGAGTCTCCCCCAGAGCGTCCAGAAAGGAATGCCCAGTGAGACCAGAACCATAGGTATCAAATATGTGTTGTTTTAAGCCCCTAAGTGTTACCGTGGCACTGGGAAACCAATGTGGCATGTGTATGTAGAGGTGCAGAGTTGAGTAGGGAGGGAGGGAATCTGCTCTCCTCAGATTTGGTTTTAGGCCAGAGCTAGCTGTAACAGCCTTCCCTTGCAGGGTGCCCGTCAGTGTTCCCCAACAGCCCCTGAATACCTGATAGACTTTGTGGTCCTGAAGTAGTCCTTCCATTTACTGAGCCCAAAGTCCTCTACCAGGTGGACAAGCCCAGGCAATGGTGTCTCAAATTACAGAAGAGGAAGCTGAGCCCTGGAGGGGCTATGGATCAGAGCAGTGCCCCACTTGAGGGCCAGAAATGGCTCAAAGCCACACCTAAAAACTCAGGCTTTCTATGAGGCAGTCTGCTCTTTCTACAGACTTCTGACAGCCAGACAGGTCCAGGCAGGCTCTGGTCTGCATCTGTACTGGGCACTGACCCACCTTTCCACTGACTCCCTATCCTTCCTCCCTGAAGACAGGACTATAGGCCCAAGCCAGGGACTGCCTGACCACATCCAGACCCAGCCAGACACTTGGAAGCAGAAAGAACCCTTGAGTTCTATTGTTGGCTGTGGACTTGGTGTCACAATGGAATGGGGAGGTGGGCTGGGATTGGTCAGGGTGGACTTTTACTCCATGGGCACAACTGATGCCGGTTCTAGGGACAGAATAGGGTGAGGTGAGTTGTGCAGGTTGCCACATGAGCCAGGCCAGTGGCTTTGTGCTTCAAGCCTTCTGATCTCACAGCTGAAATGATTTGGCCCTGACCCACACGCTTCTGGGACATTCCCATGCCAAACAGCTTTGATCAGAGCTGTCTGTCTCTGACCCATTTCCCCATGAAGCTCCTTTGCTGGTTTGTGGGAACGAGACTCCAGTCTTCTTGTTTGGGGTGCTGAGTGGAGATCACATAGGGTCACTACCAGGCAGGCCCTGGAGGGAAACTGAGGGACCCTAGCTAGGGAAAAGGAAGCTCTAGTTCTGAGCAGCCTGAGCCTGGCATTGCTGAGGCTCTTTGTCCCCCTGTTCAGCAGCATCACCAGTAAGAGAGCTCCTTCCTCCTCAACCACCCAGGACATGGCCTCCAGAAGTAGGAACAACAGTCTGGGAGGCTGAGACTTAGGCTTTCCTGAGTCTCTGATCAGCAGACCCAGCATGTAGCCAGGATTCTGGAAAACCCAAGGCACTAAGATACACTGGGAAAAAAAAAAGAAGTATTTGCTAGTTAAAAAAAAAAAAAAAAAGCCACCGAAGAACTAATCAACGAGGAACCTCCCCACTGCTACTCTGAAACTTACTGTGGCTTCAGTCACTGATTAGTGCTCACTTCTGCTGATGTTTGGGTGGCAGATCCTACCCACCAGGCCTCTCAGGTGTCTGCATATCATCTGAGTAACTCAGGCTCCCTTGAGTTTCCTAGACTTAGCAGCACTGCTGGGGCTACAGGGACTGAAGAGGTAGCACAATGAGAACCCAATACACATATTGAGGCTGATGATGAGGGCAGGGAGCACCCCTTTGCTCTGGTTAAAGGACATCTATGTCTCTGTCCTGATCTCTGGGTAGAAGAGAGACCAATGATGGCTGAGTATGAATTTCCATGGCTCAGAGAAGTGGAGGTGCAGAGTCCAAGGAAAAATACAGTTTCTTACACACGATTTTGCAGGGCTCGTGTGCCTATTGGTTACAAATGTTAATTTTCTTTCTTAAACTATCAAGAAGCCATCTCTGTTTCCCTTGATGATAAATTGAAAAAACTAGAAAATATCAGTGTCTTCCCACTCACTTGCACCAAATGCTCAAGACTCATGGTTACCATTGCCCTCATCTTTAAAGGAGAAAAACCCAGGAGGTAGGCAAGCAGGGGCCAGAGAGGCTACCACCTCCATCCCGCAGGGAGGTCCTGGGCACATCCTAGGGACCTAGAAGCTAGACTTTTCCTGGTGCCAATATGGATGACAGTGAAAGTCTGTCCAGGCCCTTGTGTAGGTAAGTGACCTGGACTGCCTGTGGCTGGCTCCAACCCTGGCTCGGTAAAGAGCCCTTGGCCAGTGCACTGAAGATCTCAAAGAGAAACTCCAGAATGAGATGAATTCTCTCACCTCCCAAAAAAACTCGACACAGAAGCAAATAGAGTTCATCAGCTTGCCTGATGCCTCAGCCCTTTGCCTAGGGTAAGGGAAATAGAGAGGCTTGGGAAGAAAAAGACTTCAGTTGCCCCCAAATCTGGGAGCGGAGGGAAGAGTCTTACCCTCAGTGGCATCACTGCCACTGCATGCAGGACAGCTCTGTTACAAAGCAGAAGGGCAGGCTAAAGAGTTGGTGATAGATTTGGTGGTGGGAAGTTTGGGCAGCTGCCACATTTTAGCTTCTCCTATTTTTGAAGGGTGGGGGGAACTATCTGTCAGGAGGAAGAGGACCAAAGCATGCAGAGTGGAGGGGAGAAATGGTCACAGGTGGGGGTGAAAAACAAGCAGGCTAGGAAAGGCTGGTAGGAACACCAGGCAAAATCCAGTTGAGGTTGGTTTTACCAAAGGGTAAAAGCATTAACGTGTACAGCATTAGCAATTGAGAAAAATGATCCCTGTCTCAGTTGAAGTTAGGAGGATTTCTCCATCCTTTATTCTGAATAGAGAGGACCAAAGGGAGGTGGGGAGACCATGATGTAGCCCAACTCCCCAGTGTGATGGTATTTTTAGATGGGGCCATGGAAGTAATTAGGGTTAGATAAGATCATGAGGGTAGAACCCTGGATGGTATTAGTGGTCTTATAAGAAGTGGAAGAGGGTGGGGAATTTAGCTTAGTGGTTCTGGCTCCTGCTTCACAAATGCAAGGACCCAAGTTCGATCCCCAGTACAGAAAAAAAAAAAAAAAAGTGGAAGAGAGAAATTTGTCCTCATGTGCAAGGTACTAAGGAAGGCCATGTCAGCAGGGAGAGAAGACAAACCATCTGCAAGCCAGGAAGAAGGAGTGCTTCCCCAGAAGCTGGGCATGCTGGCACTCTTGATTTCAGACATCCAACTTCTAGACCCATGAGAAAATAAGTTTTTGCTTTTAAGCTGCTTGTCTGTGATACTGTGTTGTGGAAACCTGAGCTGACTACGCCTGGTAGGAATAATGGAGCAAAGAGGCCAGAAGGAGGGAATGCTGTGGTCAGAAGTGACATATCTGAATGAGAAATTCATCTATCTATTCACTACATGCCAGAAATATTTTTGAGATTTTTGAAGTGGAGAGGGATTATTCTAAGAGGATGGCATGAGCTAAGTGGAAAGGACAACCAAGAGCCAGGTAGCAGAAGTTCAGCTGAATGGTGTGCAATCTGCAAGTCAAAGAGAAGAGACAGGTTTCCATGAGAGTTTATAAGTAGGGAAGGCGGCAGTGGTAGGGAAGGAACAATGAGACCCTTTCCCCAGCTGGAGAGAGAGAGTATCCAGTCAGAGAAAGAGGCAGTGCGCAGTGTTCTAAGAAGGGCTGAGGACACAGCTGTCTGCTGGCTTTGGGGCTTCAGAGCCACAGATACAGGTTTGTATAGTCCACATCTTCATGGTTTGTTTCCTGTGCTTGCTCCCACATCTGGGGACTGGGCTTGACTGTTTTGAGGGCAGGGGCACTCCAGACGGAGTGTGTCTTGAAACCACACCCTCCCTTCCCCAAGACTATCAGAGAACAAGCAAAGTCCAAGACAGACCCAAAATCCTTAATTCAGACATGGCATTGGGATGGGGCTGTGGGGAGGAGAGACGCAGATTATGGGTGGAGGGAGGTCCTATCCCAGATGCTTCTGGGATTGAATGTTATAGTGGTAGGCTCGGGCTGAGGCCATGTCATGGTGTGCTGTCTTCCTAAACAAGGCTGGTTTTATTTCTTCATCCTCATGGGTCCTGGCCATATTCAGGAAGACACATGGGCTGCTCCCCTCTGCAGATGGCCCAGCTCTTAGGAGCCATGATCAGAAATATGTGCTGCTCACAATGGCCACTTTTGGCCTAGAAGATTTTGCTGTGATCTTCATCTGTTTTTCCAGGGCTGCTGCCTTTGGAGACCTGCTGGGAGCAGAAGGCTGTCACTGGCTATCCAGGGATTGGTCTCCTGGTAGTGTCCCTCATCATCTCCCTTCTGAGAGTAGGGGGATTCTGACCCAAGCCAGGGTCTGGTTCCCTGGGGACCCATATAAGGCACTAAGAAACAAAGGACTAACAGTTTAGCTGGAGACCTAGGCCTCTGAGAGAGGGGTTGCTGATGAGATGCCCAGGTCCTGGGCTTCAGAAAACTGCTTACTGTGGGGAGGGCCTTTGCTCCAGGTCCTGGATGGTGTCTTTCAGTCTCTGGCCATGTGTCTCTGGCAGCAGGGCACAGAGTACACCGGCCCCAATGGGGAGGCTGCCGAAGATGAGCATGGGGAGGGCCATGTAGTTCTTGCCCAGCAGTATCACAAGTGGAGTGATGATGCCCCCGATTCTTGAGAAGATGCTCGCCAGCCCGATGCCAGTTTGCCTGAGGTAAGGCCCATACAAGTGAACAGACCTGGCTTCACTGCCGGGCTGTGGCTCTACCCCATACCCCATACTGTGACCCCCAAAGGCCTGCAGGGTTACCCCCTTTATCCAGCCCATGCAGTGCTCCTGCTCCCTGCTCCTGTGTGGCCCTCTCACTTCTGGCCTCCCTGTTTGCCTGCTGCACTTCTCCTCGCCTGTCACATCTCAGGTCAAAGGCTGAGCCTTTCTCCCACCACCTTCCTCACCTGAGTGTTTCTTGTCTCGGGCCGTTCGTCCTTAGATTCATCCCACGTGCCTGGTCTACTTCTTTATCCGTCCTCTACCCGCCAGAGGATAACTTGGGAGCTAGATTTAGGAGTGCCCTGGCCCAAAGCCAACCCTGTTAGCTATTTGTCAACTGATGGTGAGAGTAGTGGAGGGGTGGCAAAGATCAAGGTGCAGAGCAGTGGGAGTCATAGCAGCAGCTCTTACCGGATAATGGTGGGGAAGAGCTCAGCAGTATACACATAGGAGATAGTAAAGCCAGCAGCTGTTGCAGACTTCCCTATCATGGCCAGCATGGTGACCACCACAGGCAGATCTGGTAGAGGATGCTGGTTAGCACACAGATAATAGGTCGCCCAACACCTAGCACCTGCCTACTACCACATACACCCAAACTCTTCACTCATTTCTAGGAAGCCCTTACTCTTGACAGGAGAGCAATGAGCTATTGGTCTAGCCTCTGGCAGATAGCAGGGAATGGGTGGGAAACAGTCAACCTGATTACCTGATGGGATGAAGGTGATGATAATATGCATGAGGCCACCCAGGATCAGCATCCCAGACTGGCTCCACTTTCGGCCACACTTCTCCATTAAGAAGATGCTGGAAATTCGGGAGGGCAGCTCAACTGCTCCAAATATGAGCTGTGTCAGGTAGATGTCCATGCCAAAGTCTCCTACTTGGAAACTGAACCCATAGTATGTCAGACTGTCCACAAACCTACAGAGTGTCCAAGGGTTGCAGTCACTGCTAGATATACAATACCATAACACCCAAAGAAAGAGGTTGCCACTGTCAGGGTCACAGCAGCAGACATTGCCACAGCTGGGGAGAGACTGTGCTAGTCAGAGAGCCACCACCCACCACTGCACTGACACACACCTGGAAGATGGTAGCCCTCTGGCTCTGTTTTTGGAGAAGGGCTTGAGCCCTGGTCACTCACCAGACACAGATAAGAATCAGAGTCACCTTCCGGAGATGAGGGTATCTGAAAAGATCAAAGGCATTCCCCGAGGGGCCTTTCTCCTCTGGAGCCAGCTGGAAGGAGATTCAGATTGAGGGGCCCAAAGGAAGGTCTAAGTGGAGCAGCTTGGGGCAGGGGTGGTCAGGGCTTGCTACAAGTACCTGGCTTAGGAGCCCTGGGGTGAGTTCCCTCTTGTTGACTGATGCTGCCTTCTGGACCAATTGCCTGGCCTCCTCCATCCGCCCCTGAATGAGGAGCCACCGTGCAGATTCTGGCACTACCCTGTGGGTCAGGAATAGCTGTGACCCTGGAGTCTAGAGCCCTGTGGAGCCTTCCCAGCCATTTCAGTGCACAGAGAACCCCACAATCAGCTCTCACAGGTTACTTCTCCCAGACCAGCCTCTGATGACCTTAAGAGGTGAGAGTGAAAGAGAGAGTTGCAGTCAACCCTACAGCATAGCTGAACAGGGAGTCTGCTTCTGCCAATTTTTTCCTCACCAGAAGCAGAAGAAAAGCAGCAAGATGGGTGCAGTGCTGGAGATCTGAAGGAGCCTCCATTTGCGGACACCATAGGCGAGTCCTGCTAGCACCATCTGCCCAAGGGCAAAGGCGGTCAAGTTCAGGACCATAGCAGGCATTCTCCATGAGGGTCCCACCCACTCTGAAACTGAGGGAAAAGAGAGGTGAGAGTGGGCCACACCTGCCCACTCACTCCCTGTTGCTTCCCAGATGCCACCGTGGCTCGGCTGGGGCCTTAGTCCCAACACAGGAAACTGTGGCCACTTAATGTACGACTAACAGGCAGTTAGGGAGCATGGCCAGTCACATCCTGTGTCTGGAGGCTCAGATACTCACTTAAAGTGGTAATGTTTAAGCTATATCCACCGATAGCTGTAGCTATAGCAAAGCGCAGGGCCATGTGAAGTTCAAAGCTGGGCGCAAAGGCTGTGGCCAGGCTCGCGATGGCAAACAGGAGCAGCTGCATCAACAAGGTGGCTTTGCGGCCAGTTCTGAGATAACAAAGGGGCAGGTCTGTGTGGGGGACGGGCCCTCCTGGGGAAGAAGTGAGGGAGAGCCAAGAGGGTCTGCCTTGGGCTCTCTGTCCAGGGCAGAGATGTGTTTGAGGAAGGTGGAAGAGGACCTTATCCTGGAGGCCAGTGTGGGCCTGCCCCAGGAGCTGAGAGTGCTAGGCTGCGGTAAGCTGTCAAGGTCCATACCGGTCACTGATGGGCCCGAAGATGAGGGCTCCAATGAGGAGTCCAGCCATGAACACGGACTGCGAGGTTTCCTTCAGGTGCTTCCGCTCACAGACTAGGTTGAACTGAGGCAGACACAGGCAGGTATGAGTCTAGGGACAGCCTGGAGGACAAATTCTTCACCACCTAGCTCACTACCAGTGTTTTAATACAGATGCCCATGGTTCTCAAGCTGTGTGCCAAGGCACACCAGCACACCATAGTGAGGTCAGTGGACATCGAAGCATATTTAAAATTTTAAAGAGAAATTTGTACAATATTTGACATCTCTCTGACATCACACAAATTGCTTGCCCAGGGTAGTTTACAGTTGAACATGAGATTATACTACTTTCTTTCCAGTGACATTGTATTTGTATGAAGTCTTGTTTTGGGCAGGTGCTATGAGAAAAAGTAAACACTGCAATCAATGAGGAAAAAATAATATGGGTGACATTGTTCTAGGACTGAGAACGCATATGTTCTCAGGAGAAATATACATCATACTACTAAGTCATTGCATTTAAGAATGGAATAATTTCAATTTATGTTTATTAGCAGGGGAGCGCAGCTACCCTTGACTGAGGAAACGGTCTGCCTCTATCGGGGGTGGTCATCCTCTTCAACAGAGTGCACACCTTTGGGAGGGGGACACGTGGAGCCGTGAGAGAGGACAGGGACACCCGCCTAGCCAGCCAGATCAGCCGTATCAACTCTGGCGATCACGGGGGGGGGGCAGATGTCATAGCCAGATCGCCCTCCATCCAACGTTTATTATTCCTTAAAACAACTAGTAAGTTATCAGAACATATATACTTCTTGCTTGGGCTTAATTACTTAAATAATAAGTTAGGCTTTTCTTTTGGCCAAGCAATGCCATGCAATGAGACTGACATACTTGAGCTGTAAAATTTGGCACCTCTTGCAGACATCCATTGGCTGCTTCCAGACACACCAGGCCTCTCCCTACAGTTTCTGCACCCTGTGGCCACTTGTACCTCTCCAATTTTTCCATCTGCAAAATCCCCCTGGTATTCACCATTCACAGGCAGTCAGAACATTAAGAGGCATTCACACATGTCCTCTGATTAGGATGGAGGAACTTACATAGGGGAGAAAGACAGACAGAAACACAGAATGACAGGGAATGTGTATCTGGCCAAGTGGTGCCAACCCCTCTGGAAATAGACTGGGAACCAAATGAAGACAAAATTCAGGTGGCCATAGCTCTGCACACTTCTACTTATGGGAACACATGGTGTACATGGTTGACTCCAACTTGCTGAGTTGTGGGCTACTCAGGGGAGTTCTGTGCCCCTTGCACACATCCCTGCCCCATCCCAGAATGGTGTGGGAGATTGCCATTTGAGCTCTCATCTAGCTTCACCACCATGCTGATGCCTTCGAGCACTCACTGTACAGGACTCTGTGCTAAGTGCTTTCTTTGAATTATCTCATAGGATTCTCACAAGCTCATTTGACTCATTGCAACATTTCCTAGAGGGAGGAGAAGCTAAGCAGCCAATGCTCTTTCTCACTGCTGGAGAGCAGCTGCTGTTGTTGAGACATTTCTGCCCGACATGGGGATTAAAACTGAGTGAAGAGCAAGCACCCTTCTGGGTATATCTCGGTGGGTATTTGGTCTCTGGCTCCTTCCTCTCTAGCTCTTCTTTATTTTCCCATTCCTGGCTGCCATGATGTGATCGGTTTTCTTCTCCCATGCATTTCAACCATGATGTTTGTGCTTTGGAGATAGCTGACCATGGACTGAAACTTCTGAAACTGTGAACCAAACTAAACCTTTTCCCTTTTTAGTTGTATATGTTAGGCATTTTGTTCTAGCAATGGAAAGATGCCTAATACAGAAAATAGGTACTGCAGAAATAGGTAGTTGCTGTGACTATACCTGACCATGTGGTTTGTGAGAAGAGTTTGGAAAAGTTTGGAGATGCAGGCTAGAGAAGCCCCAGAATGCTGTAAGCAGAACTTGATGAGCAATTTTGGTGCAAGGAATGCTGATAAGAATGTGGACAGTAAAGTGCTTGTGAAGTTTCTGATGGAATGTGGACTGTATTGAGAATTGAACTAGAGGCCATGCATGTTTCATCTTGGTAAAGACTTTGTCTATATTTTGTCTGTGCCCTAAGACTTTATGTGAGGCTGAGTTTAAAAGCAATGAATGAATTTATCTGGCAGAGGAAACGTCAAGGCAGCTCAATATTCAGATGGTGGCATGCATACTACTGACTGCATTTAAAGATTTACAATGAGAATGAGAAACAAGTAAAAATGAGCAAGGTGTGATAATTTATGTACCAATTCTCCAAGATGAATGTAGCTATTATGTATCAAAAACGTATACTAATAGCAAAAATAAAAAATGGAAAACATTTTTAAAAGATATGAAAAACTTGCTTTTTGGTTAGAAAATAACTCATTATAAATCTTGGGCCAAAGAAGTTGTGGTTGCTGAAGAGACTAGTGCCATTAAAAAGAAGCCAAGTACTTTTCAACAGGACAATAGGAGAGATGTCTTGAGGGCATCTCAGGAATTTGCCTGAGCATAGGAGTATAACATTGCTTAGGACTTTCCTTTGGGAAGCTAGCCCCAGGGTGCCCTTCTCACTCACTCAGGGATGCAGGGGAAGCTTTTTCCTATATTCAGCCATCAAGCCATCCAGAAGCCACTGGAAGCATGGTCCAAGGGGAGCTGGCTACTGCTTATGCTGGCGGTGGACCTTGGTATCCTCTATATGATGCTGATTTTTCAGATATGAAGAATAGAAGGGTTGTAGTATCATGAAGGATCTGCCAAGATTTTGAAGGGAGGCCTGGGAAGCCAATCAATGTATGACAGGGTCACAGTCTCTTCTGGGAGCCCATGAGAGAGTGGTCCATGAAGCTCTGAGAGTGAGGCTAAAGCTACGATGGAGACTCCAGGAAGTGGAGATGCCAGGAATAATAGGCTGTCTGCTGAGGACAGTTGCAGGCAATGAGCAGAGTGATATGAGTAGCCTACAGATGGCAAAGCCATAGGGATGGAGCTGCAGAAGCCCTTTGGAACTCATATCTTACCACCATTGATTTTGGATTACAGACATGGTGCTACAGGACTTAATGCTTGCCCTGCTGAGTTTTGGTTTTGCTTTGTTCCTATTCCCTTTTATCCCTCTATTCTTTCCTCTTGGAATGGGAATGCTTATACTGTGCTATTGTATTTTGGGATTATGTAACTTAAAAACATTTTTTTATAGGGGCTTAGAGCTAAAAGTTGCCTTGAGTCTTAGAGGAGACTTTGGACTTAGACCTTTCAGCATTGCTAGGACTTTTGACATGTAGGGAAGGAATTAGTGTTTTCAGTTCATAGTCCACTCACCTTTATTCCTACACAAGAAGCCAAGATTTTACAGACTACTGGGCTCTCTGGAGAAAGGGAACAAAGGTTCTGCCCTCCTCTGACTGTCCCCTATGTGGTTAATACAGTGTATTGACTGGGCTTTAGCTAAATGAATTCACGTGAATAATCCAGCACAGGCTGTGAACAAAGGCTAGAGAAGGCCCAGAACAATCTGCAACAGTTTGGGGATTTAAGGGTAATGATATTTGAATAGGTAGGCAGAGACTTTATAAATACATATAGGCATGCCAAAATATTTGAAAGCTAACGAAGGCCAGAACCTATTATGGGGGTATTTTTGAGGGATTGTTGAGAGGCCAAAAAAAGGTTCAAATAGGTCAGGCTGGGCCAGAACTGGAGACTGGGAGACTCCCTAGGCTGCCTAGCTCTTCTGAGAGGTAAGATGAAGTAGAGAATCAGGCAAGCTATACTCTTAGACTGCTGGTATTTTGGAAGTTTACAGTCACAAATTGAAAAGTGAATATTTTACTTTGGTTAAAACATTATCTTTGACACATGTTTGAAATGTGGGGGAAAAGTGAATGTTTAATCTCCTGGCTCCAGATTTGTAACTTTAACAATGTTGCAAATTGCACAGATTCTCATAACAGCCCATGTCCCTCAGTTTGCCTGTGCTGTTTCCTACAGCATCAGGGAACTAAACAATGGGAATCCTTCATGGGAACCCCAGCTTCATGATCAGCCCACTATGACGTCCTGGCCCCGTCATCTCCCCCTTCCAGCCTCAATCTATAACCTCAGAAACATAGAGCATAGAGCTAGTTGCTTTCAGAAGGCCCCTCTGCTCTAGTTTGGCTAGAGCAGGAATCTTTCTGTTTGTCTATCTGAGTATCTCCTAGTGAATGAAGTTGGTAAGAGCTAATACTTAGTTGTCCACAAGACAAGTGCTAGAGTAATGAGTCCAGCATCCCAAACATAGGCAGGAGAGTGGGATCTGGAGAGGAACTGGGAAGAGGGAAGTCAAACAAACAGGAAGTCAGATGAGGGGACAGGGAAAGAACATAAAAGGAAAACTCAGGAAAATAAGTATCCAGGCAGACATGCACAGTTACACTCAAAGGCAACAGGGAATGAACAAATGGGAATGTTAGAGAGAAAACGCAGAAGACAGGAAAACAGAAGGGGACAGGGGAAAAGAGCAGGCAACTGTGCAAACAGCAGACAGACAGAGGATAGGCAAAAATGAACAGACAGACAGATGAGTCACAGAGAATGATAGAAAAATGGATGGTTTGATGGAGAGAGGACAGAGAGAAGCAGGATAGCCGGCAAAAGGAGAAATAGGCGTATCAGTGGTAGGGCAATGGCCACTGACAGAAGGGTCAGGGAGAGGAACTGTCAGACCCAAAACAAGTAAATGGAAAGACTGAAGGCCAGGCTTACCTCATTCATTAGGGATTGGGGTTTATGCTCAGGATAGACCCAGCCTGTTTCACAGGGCTGTGTCTCATTGAAGTGGTGACTGAGGATGTCCTCCAGGCTGGCATTGTCAGCGGGTGGCCGAAACATGAGGCAAGACTCGGGCCTGCCTGTAGCATCCAGAGGCACACTCAGGGCCAGCTGCTCAGCAGCACTCCAGTTGAAAATGTGGTTCTGGACCCAGGACACCGAACAATGGTGGGCCTCATTCTGGATCATGAACATGTAGCCAAAAATCTGGAAGGCAGACAGGAAGGTGGGGACACACAATAAGATCGTCACCTGTACCTGAAAGCGACCAAAGTCACCTATTTCATCCAGAACCTGAGCAAAGTGAGCCATGACTACTGGACACCTGGGAGCACCAGATAGCTCTTGAGTTTAGTTATGAGGCACTTTGCTTTTTGTGTGATGGTCACAGCTGCATTAATGTTTAATCAAGACTTTCCTACCTCTGTCTCCCTAGCTGTGGCCTGAGAAGAGTGAGAAACAATAAAAAAAATAAATAAAACGAGTCCCTTCTGCCTTATAATATCTGAAGAGGTCTTTGACTATGATGGATGTAGCTATTATAAGAGGAACCAGTAATAACTCTTCAGGCTGTGGGGTTAAGCCAAGATTATGTATTTTACAGCAGCCACTCCCACTGGCCTCCAATTGTAACATCCTAAACAATTCACACTTAGTTCTAATGCCTCTGGTTAACAGATAACCCAAATTCTGAAAGTAGTTGCAACACTTCAAGAGACAGAGAAGTTTTCTTGAGAGTACATTACATTAGACGTCTGGGATAGGTAAGAATCACAGCAAGAAACCAGTCTGCAACTGGTGCAACTACTGTGTAAATCAATATGGAGATACCTCAAAGAACTAGGATTGGGGGTTCCACTTGACCCAGCCATCCCTCTGCTGGGCATCTTTCCAAAAGAATTAAAAGAATCATACCACAGTGATATACGCACACCCATGTTTATAGCAGCATAGTTTGTAATAGCTAAAACTTGGAAACACCCCAGTTGCCCATCAGAGACTGGATAAGGAAGGTATGGTTTTTCTATAAAATGGAATACTACTCAGCCATAAAACATGATAAACTAGAGTCATTCATAGGAAAATGAATGCACATTGAGGCCATACTCTTAAGTGAAATAAATAAGATACACATGTGTAAATACTGAATAGTTTCTCTGGTGTGAAAAACTAAAAGTGTAAATAAGATCCAAATTGTAGAATTGACAATGTGAAATAGGAAGAAAAGGGCTAAAGATGTAGGGGAAGTGGGAAGGGTAGGGGAAAGGAGAAAAAGGGAAAAGAAAAAATATGAGAAAAGGAAAAAATGGAAACATAGTCTTTGTAAATAAGGGAGGGTAGAGGGGGTGAAGGGAGGGCAGGGGTAAGGGAAAAAATGAGAACCAAGATAAGTCATGTAAAGGTGCAAGATCTCAATGATGAATGTAACTGTACTGTATACCTAAAATGTACCAATAAACTCAATTCAGTCATTCTGTGTATTAACTCGGCCAGCTGTTCAGTCCGGCCTCTTGACCCCAGTGTCTCATTTTCTGCTGTGACTTTCTGCTATGTAGTGGCAGTATGCAACAATGGCTAATTGTAGATGGAAGCATTCTGGCTAGGAGATCCAGCAAACGCCTTTTGAGCATCAAAGACAAGCCAAGAATTGGAGAATTGCAAAAGAGCCAAAAGTTGCATTCTTTTTGTTTTTAATTTTGCAATTCTGGGTATTGAATCCAGGGTTGTACACATGATAGGGAAGTTTTCCACCACTAAGCTACATGTCTACCCTTGTGAGTTGCATTTTGAGATCTATTCTAATTAAGAAAGAAAATACCAATATTCCCAACACAATAACAAATGCAGGCTTTTCTCCAGCGTATCACAGGCTCCCCAAACATTTCAGGATAACAGAGGAACACAGGAGAAAGTCGCTTTCCACCACAGTCCATGCATGTGCAAACACATAAGCCACAGCGCACACACACACACACATGCACACACGCACACACACACATGCTTGTGCACATAAGAAAGCCTATTTCTGAATTTTAAATCATTTTCAGATTTTAAGAGCTGGGAAAAGGAACATGAGTGGAAGGAATACAAGTGTATTGTTCAGATTTTCATCCCTGGTACAACATACCTGATATCCACAACTCAGAGGAAGATGGATTTAGTTTGATTTGCAGTTTTGGAAGTTTCAGTCCGTGGTTGACTGGCTCCAAGGCAGAGAGACATGGGAGAAGAAAGCTGCTAATTTCATGGTGGCAGGCAGTGCAGAAGGCAGAACGAGAGATGCACCTTCCAAAGGCATGCTTCTTGTGACCCATCTCCTCTAACAGGGCCCTGCCTCCTGATAGTTCATCCAGCTATTGATTTAACAGAAGGTTCCACTGATGAGGTTAACACACTCATGAGGGCATCGCCTTCCAAAATGTTCCCCTCTGACCACAGGAAACTTTGGGGGATATTCTAGGTCTGAACCATAACTGCATTAACCACCTTTCTGTCAGTGGGACAAAGTACCTGACATGTACCACTCAAGGGAAGAAGGATTTCTTCAGGGTTTTAGAGCTTTGGGTTCAAAATTAACACTCACAGGCAGAAAAGGGATGGTAGAGGAACAAGGCAGAGGAAAGCTGCTCACTTCATGGCAGCCAGGAAACAGAGACAGAGAAGTGAAGAGCCAGAGACAATATTATACTCTTCCAGATAATGCGCCCAGTGACCTACCTTCTTCAATCAGGCTCTATCCCCTAATAACACATTCAGCTATGGACTCAACGGATTGATCGGATTGGCTCAGTGGCCCTGTAAGCTGATCACCTGCCTTAAGCCCCACCTCTGGAACCTTCTGGAGAACATTTTAGATCTAAACTGTAGCATTTGGCACTTGGCCCCCCCATACGTTCATGCCCATCTCATGCAAAATGCATTTAGTTCAGATCCAAGAGATGCCAAAGTCTTAGCAATTCCGGCATTGCTGAAAGGTCAATGTGCAATGTCTCTGAGACCCAAGGCAAATTTTTAGCTATGAGACAGTGTACAGATGAAAAATAAAGTTAAATACTTTCAATATTTAATGGCCCTGGGTAGATACTCTCATTCCAAAAGGGAGGAGTAGAGAAATAGAAAGGAGTCAAATCAAAGCAAGAACAAAACCTAGCAGGGTAAATACTGAGTCTTGTAGCTCCAAGCATAGCGCATGGTGGTGAGACGAGTTCCAAAGGGCAGCTCTACCCCAATGGCTTTGCCAGCGGCAGCCCTTGGCCTCTTGTGGGGTCGTATTTCTCGCTTCCATCAGCTTTCCTTGGCAGATATTCTATGTTCCTGTCATCTCCAACTTTCTGGGGTCTCACTAAAGCTTTGGCCTCATTCTTATAACTTCATATATTGCGCTCTTGAGATAGGAGATTAGGGTGAGGCAATCCAGTTAAACAACTTTGAAGGGTCTGTCAGCCATGGAGACCCAGGGCACATGTACAGAGCACAGAGTCCAGAATGACTGTGCATCCCAAGCCCTGCATATGGGACCACTCAGAAAAGTGTCCTTTTTAATTCTCAATTTACATCTGGTATGACAGGACAGCTTAAATCTGACGTTAGACCAAGTAAGTTCCTGCTAGGACAACCATCCCAGATGCTTGTTTTCATGGGGGAGAAGCAATCAAGGGAATCCTTGTATAAAAGAGGCCTGTGACTATCCTTGGGGCCACCGTGAGTCTATTCATAAGCCTGTTTTCATTCTGGAGAGCTTATTTCTTTTTCACCTTCAGGAAATGTAAATTCTTGCTACCTTTCCAACTCTGTTCAGGACACAAAGAACTTGAGAAGAATCCTTTTGCAACCCAAAAACTGGAAAGTGCAGCCAGGAGGTAAGGCCTTTTGGGGAAAGACTCTCCTCTCCTCTCCCCTCCCCTCCCCTCCCCTCCCCTCCTCTTCCTCCTCCTCCTCCTCCTCCTCCTCCTGTTCTTCCTCTCTCCTTCTCCCTCTCCTCTATTCCCCAAAACTGAAGGGTATAAGCTTAAGTTCTGTCCACCTGATGCCGTGGATCCCCTCTTGGCAGGGCTAGGAACATGTCCTAAGCTATGAAGATTCAAGTGATCATTTAGGCAATAAATAATGTTACTTTTGGAATTTGGTGAAGTTCATGGGTTCAAACCAAGAAGTAGCCCACTGATTTACTTATTTTTCTTCTCTTTCCTAAGATAGTCTCAGTCCTCTTTGTGTCCCTTCTTTCTCACTTAGGCTTTCATCTGATAAAAACTCAAATCTTTAACATTTTTTCCTGATAGTTATCAGGGAGAGGCAGAGACAGAGAGAGAGAGGGGCGGGGAGAAGGAGGAGGAGGAGGAGGAGGAAAGGAGAGGAGCAGAGAGGAGAAGGGAGAAGAGAGAGGACGGAGGGGATTAGGAGAGCTGGAAACCTTAGAATATATTCTTATGGGTTCATGGACAGTTCCTAGTGTGTCCCACCATGTGGGTGAGGGGAGGGAAGGGTGTTGCCTCTGTGTTGTCCCAACCAGTGGGAGAGGCCCATAGGCCCGCAGGAAGGGAACAACTTCAGTCCTTCTTAGCTGTCTGCCATGATGTTCCCGGGTCTGGGTCCTAGGCCTATGGGTATTCTATTTTCCTCTGCAGCCTCCTATGGTTGCTCTTCTAATGCTAGCTTGCTTCTTCCCTCTATCTTATGTGATTCTGCTATTCTAATGATGATTTTGGCCTCAAGTTTATCTCCCTTTTTCTTTCTTCTCTTTCCTGTTTTTGGTTACTCACTGTGGTAAAGTCAGTTAAAAGCTGCCAGGGCATCTGATATTAACCCAGTCATAGACCAGACTATTTTACGCTCCACCAGACCCAAGAAAACTTTTATGTACCATTCAAGTTCCGTGTGTGTGTGACTTCAAGTGGAGTATATCTCTTTTGCTTCCACATTTTTGTTCTTTCCAATACTTTAACTTTCTCATTCTTTTTTGGGGGGAAGAGGTGTTGGTAACCTGGACTCTTCTTTGAGTAGCCACCTACCCTAGCCTGTGACATTTTCTGCTGGAAGTCTCATCTGTTGTTTGTTCCCTAAATGGTCTTTTACCTGTAGCAATCCTTAGGGAATCATTTTCTCAGAGGTCCATTTCTTAAGACCTCAGGGAGCTATCCCAGTGCACCTTTCTGTCACGTTTCCCACTGTGGGGGCCAACATGTTTTCCCAATTGTCCTCCTGGACCCGAGGGAATCTCACTCTTATGGATAAGAGCTAAGGTCTCCAGTTTCAGGCAACATATGGGCCTCCTCCCCTCTTCCTTTCTAAACCCAGTTAGATCCCCTCACTATTTCTTCTAAAAGAAATTCAGATACTATAGACTCATGTGCCTGAGGGCCTGAGTGAACAAAGGGAGCAGATCATAAAGGTCAACTCTGGCCCAGGATTTAACTCAGCAGTGCTGCTGCCTGCCTCGCAAGCACAAGATCCCAAGTCCCATCCCTGGTACTCAGTAACCCTGGTACCAAAAAACAAAAACAAAACAACGAAACAGAACAAAACAGCAGGATGTAGTTGGAGTGAAGTTCCTTACTCTTCCAACTCACAGCTTGTCCGGCCACTGGGCGAGGTCTCTGGAGTAGTGGAGACCACTTGGTCCAGTCACTTTTTCTATGGCAGATACTCAACAATATAGAGAATGGCTAGGTTATTTTTCAGAAGATCCTGGTAGGTTTGCAGGTGAGTGTCAGACTTGGACTCTTGCTTTTACCCTCTCACAGCAAGATATTCATTTTGTCTTGGCCACTTGCTATGCCCTAGATGAAAAATGGAGATGCCTACAAGAGGGTAGGAGATGTGCCAATGAACAATGTGCTGTGAAAAGAGAAGGGAATCACCCCAAAGAGGTTGCTGTGCCTGAATGGAACAAAAGTGGTGATATAGAGCCAGAGACACACAAAACATAAGGTCTAAAGTGTTGATTGCTCTTATCACGGGAATAAAAAGATGCATTAAGAAATCTATTAATTATTAAGTTTTTTTTTTTTCAGTACCAGGGATTGAACATGGATCCTTGAGCTTGTGAGGCAGGAGGCGGAACCAGTGAGCTAAAGAAATGTGTTAATTATGGAAAGGGGAGAGAGGTTACACAGGGCAAAGAAGAAAATCCAACTGTCATTTATAGCCAACGAGGAGAAGCTTTCTGTAAATATACAAAGATTCATCTTCCGAGGAGGGAGGCACTAATAGAAGAACCTTTCATTGGTCCATCGGTCCCAGATATTTGGTGCAAATTACAAAAATTCCACATGGGTCCCAGGCCCCTGTGAACCAATTGTTGGACACAGCTTTTTTCGTGTGTTCACTACTTGAGATCTAGAGGATGATAAAAAAGAGAAGAACCAAGAAAAGAGACAGGCCAAAATTCCGGCTGGTACAATTGGTAGTGCTTTAAGTGCACACAAGTCATCCAAATGCAGGGTCAATCAAGGAAACTAGACACTGGGAATGGGGCTGTAGCAGGCCAGTGCTCAGGCCCTGCTCCACTTGTCAGGGGCTGATGCGCCTGACTCGTGTCACAGAGAATTGACTGTCCCCACTCCTCGAAAGAGGTTAGGCCAGCCAAAACCTTTACCGCCTGCTCTGATGAAGAGGACTGAAGGGGTCCAGGACAAACTGTAGTGCCCCATCCATGGACATCTTCATCTCCTGTGAGAACCCCTGGTGACCCTAGATATTTTGCTAAGGAAATCCAACTCCTTGTGGGTACTGGAATGGATTACTCTGTATTAACTTTCTTCTCTGGGAAACCCTTTGCTAGGCCTGTACTTAATAGGAAAATTGGGGACAGTTCTCAAATTCCAGCAAAGGTCAAAGTAGATTTTAACCTGTTGGGACTACACCAGGCAGGCCCCCTGTGACCTAATGAGCCACCTGGTGGATCCTACAGCATGGTACAGTATAACCTGGGAGGGCCAATTCCACAATACCTTTAGTTATAAAACTCAAAGAGCTCAAGCAGTTTCCCAACCAAACACAATATCCAATCAAAGAAGAGGCCCTTAAAGGTCTCCAGGCTCTCATAGACAGGTTTATCAAACATGGCCTTCTGTGGCCTTGTTAGTCCCCTTGTTAGTCCTCCCCATAGTAAAGACCTTAAGGAGAATATCAGATGGTACACGTCCTCCACATCATTGATAAGGCTGTAATCACAACCCACCCTGTAGTAGCAGATCCATGTACAAACCTCTCCCAAATTCCAACAGATACAAATTGATTTGAAGTTTTGGACCTTAGTTACTTTTCTCTCATTGCTGAGACAAAATACCCAACACCTAAAGCTAAAGGGGGAAGGGGTTTGTAGAGGTTTCAATAGACTCCGAGGCAGAGTGACACATGGCGGAGGGGTGTGGCAGAGGAGAAACAGTTCATGGTACCCACACAGTGGAAAGCAGCAAGGGGCCTTAACAGTGTTTTCTGCCCACTTTATCTTATTCAGAGTACTTAGGGCAGGTAGCGCTCATGCCTCATGTTAGTCCTGGTACCCTCGGGCCCAGCCCCACCACAAGTCAATCACGCACTCTAGATTCAGCAACCTCTGAAAAAGCATGAGGTTTTGGGAGGATATCTACACACAAGCCTTACTAAATCTTAAAAATGTTTTCTTTTTCTACTCCCCTTCCTCTAGACTCCCAGATCTATTTACCTTTGAATGGGAAAAATCTCATTTCAAGGGAAAAAACAATATAGTTTGGACAGTTCTCCCACAGGGCTTTAGAGATGGCCCTCTCCTTTTTGCTGGCCACTGGGAAAGGACTTAAGGAATAGCGGTCAGTATGTAGATGATATTATAGTCTGCAGTTCACCTTGGGAACTACCCAACCACAAAGCTATACAAACTCTAAATTGTTTTTAAGTAAGAAGGGATATAAAGTGTCAAAGGAAAAGGCTTAGACATCTTTTCAGAGAATCCAATCTTGGAATACATTTCTTGTACCTGGGAAATAAGAGGTAGGAACTAGGAACTGGTTCCATGATTTCTGTGATCTCAGGCCCCATGCCATGAAACAACTTCTTTCCTTCTTAGGAATGGGTGGCTTCTGCCATACCTGGATACCTAATTTTAGACTAATGGCAAAGTCTTTACATGAAGCTGTCAAAGTCCCCAGGTCTAAGCCCTTAGAATGGACAAAAGTGACAAGCAAAGCCTCTTGAGAAATAAAATATGTCTTCACTCAGACTTCAGAACTAGGAATACCTTACTTAAGAAAATCCTTTTGGAGCTGGGCATGGTGACACACACCTTTAATCCCAGCACTCAGGAGGCTGAGGCAGGAGGATCATTGTGAGTTCGAGACCAGCCTGGGCTACATAGTGAGTTCCAGGTCAGTCTCAACTACATAGTGAGAACCTGTCTCAAAAAAACAAAACAAAACAAAGCAAAACAAACAAGCAAACAAAAAAAAAGAAGAAAAGAAAATCCTTTTGGGAAAAGAAAAAAATATGAGAAATGGAAAAACATGGAAACAAAGTCTTTGTGAATAGGGAAGGGTGGAGGGGGGTGAAGGGAAGACAGGGTAATGGGGAAAAAATAAGAACCAAGGTACATCATGTAAGGTTACAACATCCTAATGAGAAATGTAACTGTATTGTATAACTAAAATGTACCAAAAAACTTAAGGGAAAAAAAAGAAAGTCCTTTTTCTCCTTTACATATCAGAAAAGAGAATAATCGTTTTGAGTGCCTTGACACAAAAGTGGGGATAGGACCCCTACCCAGTGGCATATTTTCAAAAAAGATGGATGGTGCTTGAGGACAATGGCAGCTGCAGTTATTCTAACAGAAGAAGCTACAAAACTAGCTTTGGGACAAAAGCTAGAGATCCTGACTCCCCACCAGGTCAGGGCTATTCTTGAGATGAAATGAATGTTACTTAGCTCACCAAAGTACCTAGAGTTTCCTGACATTGCCATACAGACTTGCATTACTCTTAATTCTACCCTCACTGATGCTGTAGGATCAGAGATTAGCCACTCTTGTGAGCAGGTGGTTTCTTAGACCTACACAAGCATGTAGGATACCAGTGATCTGCTCTTCCAAGACCCTGAGGAGGTATGGTTCATTGACGGAAGTAATTTTGTCCAAGAAGAACATGGCAAGGCCTGTTATGCAGTTGTCAGTTCCCAAGAGGCCATTGAAGCCACACTCCTTCACCAAGGGAGTTCTGCTTAAAAAATAGAACTCATAGCCCTTACTTGGGTATTGCTACTAGGAAAGGGCAAAAGCTAAATATTTACACAGATTCCTAATATTAATTTCTGATGTTGCATGCCCACGGAACAGTCTAATTATTCCTAACTAATAAACAGTCATCTATAAAGCACAGATATGATTCTACAACTTCAAGATGCAGTCTATTTTCCCAGGCAGGTTGTTGTCATTCATTGCAAGGGACACCACAGGGATGTGTTCATAGTTTCCTTGAGAAATCAAAATGGAGGTAGAGAGGCATCTGTATAGCTCCTCAAAGTTCTAGCCTTATTTCTAGTTTCTGAGGAAGCATTAAAACCAGTCTGTACTGCTGCAGAGGATAAATGGGCCTTCAGACAAGGAGGAATTAAAAAGAGCTTTGATAGTATTTGGGAAACAAACTGATCCTTCCTCAAGGGACACAGTGAAAAGCTGTAAAAACTCTTCATGAGTTTTTGCCTATGGGAAGAAACACTACCAACTATATGGGAACAAAGTCCTGCCAGCTCCTGGTCCAGGGGTACCACCTAGTGTCCACCCTGCAGACCAAGTGCTCATTAAAACTTGGAAAGAAGAGACTCCTGAAGATCAATGAAAACCAAAAGGGAAAGGCCCCTTTTCAGCGATCCTTGCCATACCCACTGCAGTAAAAGGGGCAGAGATAGATAGCTGGGTTCAACTTTCCAGGATAAAGCCAGCCATACCTGATTTGTCTGTGGCTAAAGACCACCAGAAAGAAGCAAGGTACTCCTGTGAACCTCTGGAAAATCTGAGGCTCTTTTTCAAAAAGCAAGACTCTAATACTGCTCTGGGCACAGATAAGTAGAGTCATTAATGACTCCTAATTTACCACAACTTACTTAGGCGCCTGTACTGTGACTCCTGCTTTGAACTGAATCCATAATGTGGTAATCTTGCTAGTGCTATGCTCAGGCTTTTGGTAGTTTATCTAGTATCACTCTTCGCTGTGCTTTCTTTCCAGGAAACATGGAAATAAAACTCCTTAGAAAACTTCTCTGAAATAACACAAAAAAAATAGTCTCTAGCTGCTGGATCTGTCATAGTGCACCCTTTTAAGACTGACAAGAAAATATTCTTATCTGCTCCTCATATTTGGGATCTTCTTCCTCAACCTCATAGGCATTTTATGTGTTCAAGGCTTTAGATGATGAAAAAGGCTACATTACACGATTCTCCTGAAAAATTACTCAAGCTTTCTGCTACGGAACAGGCAACTCAATAATTCTTGACATAAGCACCAACTCCTCTGCTAGCTTCTTTCCAGCCCAGCTGATGAATCCCAACATCCCGAGGCAGTCTGACAGCACATACTCTCTAGTGGGTAGAGCTACTTAAGCATGAAGTAGCTAAAGATAAAGACTTCCACTCCCTCAGCATCTCATAAGGAATTATAGGTAGTAGGTATTTCAGGTGGAGATGAGGTAGGAAAAGAGGGTGGGACAAACTGGTTAAACAACCCTGAAGAGCCTGTGAGTTATGAATACTCAGGGCACATGAGTAGAACACAGAATCTGAAATAACTATGCAGGCCCCAAACCCCATGTGTGGGACAGATCAGAAGAGTGCCATTTTTGATTCTTCATTTATATAGCATGTGAAACCAAGCAGGCCTTTGATAGGACGGTTTAAATCTAACATTAAGCCAGGTGAGTTTCTGATAGGACAACCATCCCAAATGCCTTGTCTGCATCGGGGAGAAGCAATCTAGGAAATCCTTATACAAAAGAGGTCTGTCACTACCCTTGTGGCCATTATGAGTCTGATCACCTACCTGCTCTCACTTTGCAGAGCGTACTTCTTTTTCACGTTCAGTAAATGTAAATTCTTACTACCTTTTCTGTATGTCTTATCCACTTCTTCGTTTAGGACACCAAGAACCTGGAGATATTTTTTAGGAGGAGGAGTTGGTTCAAAATAACAAAGATGATAAGAAATACCAGCACAACAATGAAAAACAGACCTCTCACAAGATACCAAGACATTATTATCTATCTCCTCACAGGTTTACGTGCTTGAGCAGGCTCTTGAGGTCTCCCAGTGACTCAGAGGCCCTTGAATGTTCTTTGAGACCCATATGGCTTGGCATTTCAGTGTCCCACTTGGTCCAGGTGTAAATGCTTCCATCTGCTCAGAACAGTTGTCAACCACCACCAACAGATATTTCAAATCAGCTGTCTGCAGCCTTTAGGTAAAGTCCATTTACCAATTTTCATTATTTTTTTCTAGACTGGAGTGGGCAGTTGCCAGGGAGATATGATCAGTTTGAATGAAGACTGTTTCTGTAACACTAGGAGCTGATGCCATTGCTATATTGTCTTTCTTAGCCCTCTATCTGTAAAAAAAACCAAAACAAAAAACAAACCTTGTGCCAAGTTCTATAAAGCCACAGGGCCATAAAGCATGTCCCTGTCTTTTATCCTCCACAAAATCAATTCAAAACACCTCAAAGACCTAGTATGAGACCTGCAACTTCTAATTGCTGGAAGAGAACATAAAGGAAATACTTGAACCTACAGGCACAGGCAAAGACTTCTTGAACAGGACTCTAATTGAACAGGAAACAGTAGCACAAATCAACAAATTGGACAACATTGCATCAAAACGCTTCTTCACCGCAAGGGCAATAACCAGCAAATGAAGAGCAGCCTACAGCACGGGAAAGTCTTTTGAGAAAGACTCTGCTCCTACCCTATGTGTCAAAAAGTTCTGTTTAAGCCGTGTAACTGAGCTGCACGATGTTCCTACTACGTGTTTCAGGAATGTTCTGTTAACTCTGCCTCCTGCTTTAATAAGGTACTCCCTGAGTATATGGGCCCACCCCCTACCCTCTAGATCTCTATATAAGGCTGCTTCCGTTTCTGTTTGGGGCTCAGACTTTGGAGTACAAACTCCTCTGAGCCCACTGGCATAATAACATTTCCTTCTATCTCTCTGAGTGCCACCCTCAGATTCTTCATCTCCAGAGACTTTTTTGGATAGCTGTACCACTTGGCTGTGACACAGAGCTGTGACACCTGACTATGACACAGAGATGTAACACTTGGCTGTAATGTTGAGCTGTCCAACTTTGCTATAACAATACAACCTAGCTACAGGTGCTCAAGAGAAAATAGGAAGCCTGACAGACCAATAACCACTAAAGAAGTAGGATTAGTAATCCAAAGTTATCCAACAAAGAAAAGCCCAGGACAAAATGGCCTCAAGGGTAATTTTTATCAAACACCAATGATGCGCTAACATTAATCCTTCTTAATCTCCAAAAAATTAAGGGGAACACTTTCAAATGGAAGAAGGCCAGAATCAGTCTGAAACCAAAGCCACATAAAAATACAGTTTTTAAAAAAGCTTAAGGGGAAATATCTCTGATGAGCATACATGCAAATTCCACAAGAAGAAAAAAAAAAAAAAAGAAAGAAAATACCAGTGACCTGAAATAGAGGTGACCAGCACACTAAAAGGATCATACACTATGACCAAATGAGATTTGTTTCTGGGAGGCATGTAGTCCAACATACATTAATGCATGTGATACAACACATTATCAGAGTGAAGTCCAGTTTGCATCTTCATAGATGCAGAACAAGCCTTGGTTTTAAAAATTGAACAGTTTGAACTTAAAAAAATGTAACAGCCTTTTATAGGAGCATCGTGCAGATGGAACAGTTACACTGCTTGAACAGAATATCTTACAGTAAACACTGCAGAGGGGCTTGGCAGCAGACAAAGGCCTGCCCTGTTATGCATTATTCCCTTATCAGTATGCTTTTAAGAATATCTTCATTTCTTCTAGGCTGTCCAATTTATTGGATAATCATTCATAGTAGTCACTCAGGATCAGTAGTAATATCCTTTCTTTCAATTCTGCTTTCATTTGTTCATTTAAATTTCTGCTTTTTTTCCCCTTTAGACTAGCTAATGGCATGTTATTGCTTATCTTTTCAAAAATGTAACTTCCCAGCAGTGATTTTTTTTGTATTTTTCTATTCCCTGTTTCTTGTAATTTGTATTATTTCCTTCCTTCTGCTAATTTTTAGTTCAGTTTGTTCTTTCCGGTTTCTTTGGATGTAAATGGGGTATTTAATTTTAGATCTTTCTTCTATTTGAATGGAGGTTATAAATTACCAATTTATAACAAAGAAAAGAAAAGAAAACAGAGCCTCTCTGCTGCTTGGGATAATCCAGGCCACCATTCTCTGCTAACCATTGTAATTTGCTCTTGCAAAATCAGAGAGAGGTAATAATTCGAATAAGAGTTTAGTGAATTAAGGAATCTCTCATGTTTGGCTGGCTTCCTGCCATGACGACTGACAGTAAGGGGACAGCAGGTCATATCCCTGAGATGTGCCTTCTGGTATGGATGAAAGAGTACAGGTGCAAGGTCAGAGAGACCTGAATTTCGCCCTCGTTCAGCTCCTTTCTAGATCCGTGACACTGAGTGGAAAATAACCTCTCAGATCCTCCATGGTCTCACTTGTAGAAAGGGGATGGAAGAGATATTGCCGCTTACGGATGTCTAGCGGGCGAACAGAGATATTCTATGCCTGAGATACAAGTGCTGATACTAGTTGTGGACTTTCCTATGGTGAAAGTTATAAAATTCAGTCCTGCTTTACCTGGAAGTGTCTGCTTGTAACATTCCTTAGACTTTTCTGGGACTGAGTCCAGGAATTGTTGAGGATCAAGACTCCCTGGCTTCGTTTCTCACAGAGGATTCAGCGGGGTTTTTGGTGTTTGGTGACACCTAGTGGTTGCATGAGGGAGTTGTCAAAATTGAAGACGAAGTCTCAGCTGTAACCCCCTTTCCCTCTGCATCCATTCTGATGCCGAGCTTTGTTCTTCCGTTTTACATCTCAGGGGCTGTGACACGGCTGACACCCAGCACATTTTAAATAATTATTTTAACATCACTGGCTAGTATTAAACGCGTAAGAGTCATAACGAATGTCAGTCTCCTTGACACTTGACAGAGGTAGTATTTTTGGCTCTTTGGAAGCGGCCCAGAGTCCTGTAATTACACCCTGGGTGATTATGTGCACTTGGCCAGTCATCATGCGTCATAATGGGCACAGATCTGTGGTTTGTGCAACATAAGTAGCAAAATAAGTAACTGAATAATTGAAGAAATAGTCCAATGGCTCTTTATTAGGGGTTATAGCAAGCTCAAGAGAACAGAAGGTTATAGTGTGGACATGGACCATTCCACTTCCCCGAATTTGCAACACAAAAATTCTCATTTGCAAAATGCAGTGATTTTCATGTTTTGTGGGACATCTCAGTTGTAAAAAAGTTTTAGAAAATCAAGTATCTGTGCGTTAGTTACAGTTGCATGGATGCCTCATTTCACTCATATATTATTTTCATTGTAACGCATACTCAAAGAGAAATTTTGAAATAATGACAAAATACAGTGTAATGCTTTCCTCCCATATCTCAGGAGTTCGTTGCAGTCCTCCCAGGCTGTTGTCCCTCTTGAAGAGAACTCAATTGTCCCAATGTCCGGAGACTTCTGCCCTGGCCCTGTAGCTCTAAAACACAATCTCTGCCCCAGACAATGTGGTTTACTTCCACCTGCTGTACCTACTTCAGGCTGTCCCTTCTCTCTGCCTTGGTTCGTTCTATTTCACCCTCTTTCCTCTCTCCTCCTAAACGACTCCAGATTTTCAGCTTAAAAAAATCCTGGGGATACTGAGGCTCAAGAGAGAGAATTGCTACGCAGTTTAGAGGGTACAGGAAGGAAGAAGACAGAGGTCCTCTAGCTGATTGTTTATTCATTCAATGGCTATTTGCCGAAGTGATAGGCACTGAACATGGCTCCATTCTACTCTGGCAAATGCTTAGGGGTTGGTGAGTCTGGATGTACTACCCTTGTTGTGTTTTGAGGGGGGAGTGATATTTGAATAAATAGATTATTTCTTGTCAGGGTCTGGCTGGATAAGCTTGGACTCTGAAATCGGGCATGTCCTACTTTCAATGTTGCCCAAATAACTGAAGTGTTCAGGCAAGACTTTACCTTTCTGAGCCTTAGTTTCTTGCTAAGGTCTACCTCACGGGAGTGTTGTGTACAGCAAAGGGAAGTATGTAGGTAGAATAACTAACTCATCTCGCTTTGCTCGGAACACTCTCAATTTCAACCCTGAAAGTCCTGCATCCTAGGAACCTGATAAGTTCCAGGAAGACTGGAATGTTCGGTCACCCCAAATGTTGGGAAGTTGTACAGAAAATCTTGCCATGGAGTGGATGCTTCATTAATGCTGGCTTCTGCCTCCTGCTTTACGTTCCATGGTTCTCTTTTTCCCCCTCTTTTCGCTTCTCCTTCTTTGTTACTTTAAGAAGTCTGACTTTTCTTCTTAGTTGACAGGGTAACTTCACAGTGTTCAGAACTTTTTCCCCCTCCTCTAAGGTATGCATTTTACTAGGAGATGTTATATTTAAAACCAAAGGGATGAATTTAGAATAATAAAATTATAAACACAGCAAGGGGCTGTGGAAAACTGCAGAGAGAATGGGATTTTTTTTTGTTTCATTAATTCTGCAAGGCTTCCTGAGCGGTTGGTATGTGCCAGGCCCTGGGGAAGGTGCCAAGGATACTTCAGTGAACAGAGAGACCCATGCCTGCCTGCCGGTTGGTAGCCTGTTTGCTGGGGACCATGGCATTGTATCAGAAATTCTGGCTGATCATTTGTCCTTACACTTTCCCCATTCCTCACCAAATGGAATATATCTGGGGGGGTGTTGTAAAGCACTGTTTTCCAAGATTCTTTTTAGAACTAAAAGGACATAGCAAATGTGATGAGGGGGTAAAAGGCCCACCCACAATTTAGTAGAATTGCATGATCATGATGCCAGTGTCTCCTAAGCCACCCCACAGACTTCAAAAACACCCCAGAATTCTCTTTGGGGGACTTTGAGTCCAACTGTGTGTGTGTGTGTGTGTGTGTGTGTGTGTGTGTGTGTGTGCACACATGCATTTGTGTGTCTCTATAGGGGGCGGGTAAGGGAAGCAGTGTAGGGCTCTGTTTAAGAACCAGAATGGCATTTGGTCCTAGCTCCACTAATGAATAATACGAAGCTTAGGTAAGATGTTTAGTGCCTCAATCACTCCATTTGTAGAAAGAGAACAACTTTGTTAGTGTTTGTAAATTTATAGATCAGTTAAGACCAAACTAGATTATAATTGTCTAACTGACATTTTCACATCCCTTCATTCAATGTATCTTCAAATAGTAGTGCTACGGCTT